AGTGAGGCCTAGCACCATGAGGCACGTGGGTCCCAGCAAGCCCCAGAGCTCCCTGGCGGGCGCCATGTTGAAACTCCCACGCTGTGGCTGCTTTCAGTGGAACACCCAGAGCAATGTGGAGGAGGGTGTGAGAAAGGGATGGAGCGAAACCCAGAGAGAGAGAGAGAAGGCTGGCTGAGGAACAGGACCTACCCGGCCAGGCTGGGACACTGAAAACACAATGGGGACTCTAGGAGGAAAGTCAAACCCATCCAGGGCTTCACGGAGACGTCTCCTAGCAACAAGGACGAGGCCAGTCCACACCCCACCCCTATTGCTTGTGGCCGAGTGGCTGAGGGCAGGCTGAGCACAGAACCTTGAAGCTTTATTATTCGTGTTAGTTGTAGTCATAATAGTGGCTGTGGTAAAATCATGAGAATGTTGTTCTTTTTCACAGAAAGACAGTCCTTTTCCCTTCTCCATTTCCACACTCAGAGGGTGGGCCTGTATGCGGCCCCTTTGTAGGCCCAGAGGCCTGGAGTGTGCAAGGAGGGGGTGTGGCAGGCACGTGCCAGCCAGGGCACATGTGTCCTGTGCCCAGGCTGCAGGTGCGGGTGGCACCTGGACCTGCTGTGTGTCTGAGACGTTTCCCTGCTGGGCCGACCTGACAGCTGTCCAAGGGTTCAGAGCAAAACCGAAAGGGAAAGAGATAGAACGTCATGTTTTACTGTTCAGGTGTATAAATTCCTCCTTCCTGTTCCATCCTTGCCCAATCCTAGGGATTACAGTTCCCCTCTGGTTCCTCTGTTGCAATGATTTTCAAAGTTTTCAGGGTCACACAGTTCTTTAAAAAAAGTAACAAACAAACAAACTTGCTTCAAAACGTGGATCGATAGTTCAGAGACAGGCAGCCTTGTTTGGATTAACGTGAGAGTGTAGTTAGCACATCTCCCGTTCAGGCCTCATTCTCAAAAGCTCATTGGGGGGTCCTGCTCCACTGGGGCAAGCTCCATGCAGCTCTCAGCGGGGCCCACTGGGGACTCATCCCTGACCTGCCTGCCCCCGGGACCAGCCAGGTCTGGGGCCAACACAGGGCTGCTAAGACTATCTCTCCTTCTCTGCAGTGAGGTGGTCTCTGACCAGCAGAGACCCAGCTAATGTTAAATACTTTGAAAAGAATTACAAACTGACCAGCTTGCCTAACAGAAAGGACAACTGGCCAATGCTGGGTGTCAGCTGTAATCTATCTAGGCCTTCAGGTTCTAAGCCGTCAGGGCACGGAATCATGTCTACCTGGGCAAGGCCTGTGCCCATACAGCATGAGGGGAGGGAAAACACCACTAATTGTCTGCTTTCTTTTCTTCATCCTCATTGCCATAGCATTAGGGAAGCCTTGAGAGAACATTCCAGAAGGGTTTTCTCTAAGCCTCCCTAACGAGGGAGAAGCACACGGTTCTCACCCTGCTCTGCGCCCTGCAGTGGTAGCTCTCTTACTGCCCCACCCCCAGAATCTCCCTGGCCCACCCCCTCCAAGGCCCTCAGAGCCTGGGAGCTGCCTACTCCATGGGAGGGGATCCAGGGAGGAGGTGAGGAGGAGCAGGGTGGCCCAGGCCTGGAGGGCAGCCGGGCTCATCTAACCTTGCATTCCCTGAGGCATCTGAGCCCAAGTTAGGAATCACCAAGCCCTTGCCTGGGAATGGAGGAGATCAGCTGATACCCTGAGGCCTCCTCCCGTATCAAGGCTCCAGGCTCTCCTGGGCTTGGGAACGTGGCCACCCAGCCCACTCCTGTGACCAGGGCAGAGCCTGGGAGCCACCAGACCCCTGCCCAGCAGGCTTAGGCTGAAGTGAGAAGCTGTGGGGTGAGGGGGTCCCTGGGATAAGGAGGCCCTTGGGGAGTGGGGGGGTCAACAGGGCCAGGGGCTAAATCTGCAAGTGTGTCTGGTCCACACCCTCTCACTCACATCCCCTTGTCTCCTCATTTCTTCCCCCTACTCAGCAAAGGCAGAGAGAAGACCAAGGGAGGCAGAGATGGCGAGCACAAGTAGGTGTCCCAAGCCAGGGTGGAGCCCATGGGGCCCCGAGGCCCCTCACCACAGGGTGCGGATGCCAGGATGGCCTGTCTCACGGGGCTTAGGTGTGGGCTGTCCTGGTGGAGTCAGCATTGGGCAGGGCGAGGGAGGTCGTCCATCTGCCTGTGAGGGTTCAGGGTCAGGGAGGGAGGGAGTGGGGTGGGGGGTGGGGCAGGTGTCTGGGCCTTCTGGTTTCTGCTCCCTCCTCCCTCCTTTCAATGTCTGGATTCTTCCTCCACTTCCCTGTTCAGCTCCACACCCATGGGCCAGGCCCTTAGGCTTTCCTGTGAGGGAAGGTGTGACTAAAGGCAAAGGAGTAGGGGAAGCCCAAGAAGCCGATGGCCTCCTTCCCTCTAAGAGTAAAGGCAGGGCTGGCCAGGTGGACACCCAGGCCTGGAGGCCCACTCTGGACATGGAGTGGCCCCGGGGGGGGGGGGGTTGGGAGCTGGGGCATGAAGCCCCAGAGAGCTAAGGGGAGATGAGCACATGAGCACCCTCGGGTCACCCTCACTATTCCATCCCACAGAAGGCTTCCTGAGGAGGGAGAGATCAGAGGCTGTCTGAGAGAAGTGGGGGTGGGGACCCTAGATGAGAGGGGCCAGCCACAGGAGGTGGAAAGGCTCAAGGCCTGGGGCTGCTATGCGGGTCTCAGAGTCCCCCTGAAGCACGTGTCGTCTCAAGAACTCTCTAGCATCATGGGGAGTTCCCAGGAGCAGCAGTAGTCAGGGCTGAGTGGGCTGGAGGGGACCTCTGGTCCAAAGCCCTTTCTTATAGATGACAAATCTGAGTCCCAGAGAGGGGAAGTGACTTGCCCCGGGACAGGAGCAGAGCTAGGACGACCGCACAGGGAATTCAGCTGCTGACCCAGAGTTCACAAGAGACCTGGGGAATTTAGAGCACTTGACTGTACTCTAAATTTAGTTTAACTTTCCAAACACACCAGCACAAGCTGAAAAGCCAAGAATGGGGTCTTTACTTTCCAGATAGGGAAACTGAGCTTCAGAGATGTTCAGGGATTTGCCCCAAACTGTGGTGCCAAGAAGTTAAAAACTAGTTGACGGGAGGATACCGTGGGATCACCAGGATTGTGCCTACAGGGGCCTGAGGTGGTCAGCACTGGTATGGGCTTGAGGCATCCGCCTGCGTTAAAGTCCCAGGGGACGCATCATGAATTGCTGCTTTAACAAAAGCATTTGAGTTCCAACTCCCACAGGCGAAAGCACAAGACAATGGCACCGGGTGGAGAAAGCTCAGGGCCTAGAGACCTGAAGGGTTGGAGAGGGAGCCAGAGAGCTGAATCTTGGGGGTGTGAGAGAAGATGGCAGAGCTGAGCCTCCTCTTAGGGAGATGGTTCCAGGGCTCAGTTTCCTGCACAGACACTTAGACGCAAGAGGCCTCTTCATGAGATGTAAGCAACCTGTCTCTCCCCCAGCCTCTGTCTGAGAGTGGCGATGCTCTAGGGCTTTTCTTGATTTCCAGCTCCCCAGTCTGCCCTGGGCCAGACCCCCAGGGATTCACTGTGGCCACAGCGGCACCAAGAGGCACCTCACAGTGCAAGCACATGGCAGACCCACAGGGAATGCTGGTTCCCTGTCACTTCCTGATCCGAATCTCTTGCCCGTTAACACATGGGATCCGGTCAGCTGGCATTGATTATTCTCATTTTAATGTGTGGGGTCATAAGGATGGAGAGGGGAGGGAAATGAGATTTCTAAAAACTGATGAAGCAAGTTGAAGCTCTTTAGGCTGCTGAAGAAAAGCTATAAAAACAGTTTTAAATCTCTCAAAGGTTACCGTATGGCAAAGCTGGCTAGTTTCAAGCCCTACTGAGGAGAAGTAAGTGGAAGTAGGTGCAAGTTGCGGTAGGAAAGAAGTGGGAAGAATCCAGCCATGAAAGAACTCATGCTCCCCTTGAGAACCCCGGCTGCTGGGAGAGGTTGGTCCGGGGAGGTGGGAGATCAATTTCCATGATGCCGTCTGCTTGAGCCTTGCAAGGAAGGGGTTGGGCCACCAAGGAGAGTGACGAAATCGCCTCCCTGGCAAACCTGGGCCTAACTAAGTACACAAAGGTCCTCCCACTCCCCAAGCCTCTTGGCTCCACAAGGGCACAGAGGCAAACAACCCAATTTGGAGACAAGTGCTTGTCTCAAGAGTCAACCATCCCGCCCAGTTGTGGGAAGCTACTTGAAACTCACTGAAATTCAACACACTGTGAAAAACAACTGTGGAGCCTGCGATTGTGAACTTGCTATTCTTGGGGCATAGGAAATACAAGAAATACACCCACCAAGGGGCACCAGGAGAACACGCCTGCCACGTTTGGAAAACGTGGCTGTTTAAACAATGCGGAGACCCACAGAGCCTGTGTCTCTTAGGCAGGGGTTTCTCCTGATGACCTGAGGCCCGAGCTAGCGAGCCTGGATTGTCCCGATTAAAGGTCGTCCTGGGGCAGAGCCGTGTGCAGTGATTGCCAGGCACAGCCCCTTAGTCATAGCATCCAGAAGAACACACAGACCTGAGTTAATGGAATGCCCAGATCACTAAGTTTAGATCGGCCAATATTCCCAAGTCATTTGGAATGCCAGGCTTCCCTTCTAGGGACCTCAGTCATGGCATCCTTCTAGATCTGAGCCGCGGAGAAACCATCAGATCCATAGTGAAGAAGGAATTTACAAATGAGCGAATTAACCTTCAAATCTTGTCTCTGGAGGGAAATAATGGCCTAAATTGTGGGTGCCTATCATTCTGACTGCAGTGAACCTGGCAACGGAGTAGCCCAAACAAGACCACAGAGGGCCCTAAAGGGGCCCACCTTCCCTGGCAACTGCCTCTTTCAGCCAGGAATAAGGGGCCACTTGGAACCAAAGTCTTTTTTCATTTGGCTTGTTGTCTTTGTCTGTTTCTCACCACATCATCTCGTTAGTTATTGAAGAACTCAGTCAGACCAGCTATAGCATTTTATTTAAAAACAAGAACCAAAACACAGTACTCCCAGCATACCAGGAACCTTATCAAAAAAATTACACGCTTTGGAAATCTAAGTCTTTGATACAAGTGGGTAATCCTCGAACAGCCACGATCAAGTTAACATTTAGTTCAAAAATAATCTTTGCCCTTTGCTGAGAGAAGCAGGCATGCCGTTTCTGGGAATTGTGCACCGAGAGGCAGAAGAGGCTGGTTTGATGGTCAACTTCTTTTTTTTTTTTTTTCAAATATTTTTATTTATTTCTAGGAGAGAGAGAGACAGCGTGAGCAGGGGAGGGTCAGAGAGAGAGGGAGACACAGACTCCGAAATAGGCTCTAGGCTCTGAGCTGGCAGTCAGCACAGAGCCCGACGTGGGGCTCGAACCCACGAACCGCGAGATCATGACCTAAGCGAAAGTCGGACGCTTAACCGACTAAGCCACCCAGGCACCCCTGATGGTCAACTTCTGATGTGTCATCAACCAGAGACCCCAAAGGGCAGTGAGAGCTGATGACCTCATGCTCTGGGCACACTGTCCAGATGAATTGAAGAGCAAGTCTAGGAGAGCCCAGAAGTATGAATTCTGGAAATTACACTTGCCCTACACATTCCATGGTTTTCATTAAGGGATAAATCTTCACTTTGGGATATTCCCAGGCACCTGGGAGTACCAGCAGTCTACCTGTCTACCAAGATGGTTAGGGTCCGGGAAGAGGGGGTTTGTCCTTTGACTGGCTCCAGGGTATAGTGGAGAATAGTAGGGGAGTACAGTTTTTTTAAAAGTCTCAATCTTTGCTTCTAAATATGTTTAGGAAATAACGTGACTTTAAAATTCAAGGGCCATCACTGCCCAAGGAAAGCCCCAGGCCTTTTTCCACTTGGGTGGGTCCTCAGGGCCAGCGTTGGAAAGCCACAATTCCCCGCTCCTCACCCCTCAGGCAGCAGATCCAGATCCTGCCCTAGGAGGCTGAGCTGGCAGCTTCCCGGGCAGGGCCTACTTCTGATCCAGCACAAGACTTTGACCCGCAATCTCAGAACACTTTCCCAGGAGCATTATGACAAGAGGGACAGAATGGGGGGCAAGGGACAGTGCGGGGGGGTGTGTGGCTGGAGCGGGCTGTATGTGATGGCATCGTGCAGGTCACACACAGGGAGGGGCTGGGGACTCTAAAGATGGCACAGCCCCAAAATGGACAAGCAGCGCCTGTACAAAGTCAAGCACAGGGATGTCCAGGAGACTCCTAGGGAATCCAGGAGAGTGGCTGTCAGAGCAGCGAGGCCGGACAGAATGGAATCACAAACACAGACAGGAAGCCGAGTGAGGCCTGCGTCCCGGTGTGGGGGTCAGAGTACAGCCAGTACCCCTGCTCCTAAGGTTGCCAGACAGGGCGCGATCCCATGGGGGGGCGGCGGGGGGGGGGGGCGGGGGGTGCTGGGCAAGCCAGGCAGGATGGTCCTTTCTCACGGCCACACAGCTGTTCCCGATGAGATCACTGACCTGTGCGATGTGTCGTCGCCAGTGATTAACTCTCCTAGCAGCCTCTTCCAAAAGGTGTTGATGCTGAGACTGTTTGTGAATGGGCCCCTTCTCTGCAAGCCTGGGCACAGCCTGTGGGACTCCTCACAGACCGCACTCCTATTTGCCCACTGTGTTGGCACACAGCCCACACCTAGCCCTACCACTGTGGGCCCTGGAAACTTTTCACTGAAGTTACAAGCGGTCAGGATGGGATTTACACTGACACAGAAGTGCAGTCCCACAGGACTGAGGATGTCGTAGTTGCTGGCATAGGAGGCAGGAGCGTTGCGCTTCAACTCTAGCTCTGAGCCTGTCTTTTCTTGGGTGGAATGAGGAGAAGCATACCTCCCTCCCAGGATTGCTATACAGATGGAATACATAAACTTCTGGAAAAGGCTTTAGTCCATAGTAGTTGCTCAAGAAAAAGTACGTAATCTTGTTGGCATATGTGTAGATACTGTCCCTTGTTAGAAGGGGAGAAACTTTCTTTCCTTCTCCTCCACTGTTATATGTTCTGGAAAACACGATGCTGGCTAGGGCAGACACATCGGTGTTCCCTCAGTCTCCCTTCACCCATCTCTGGGATTTTTAGAAAGCCATGGACACACTAGTGTTTCCTAAACTATGAGCTGCTGCACATGGAAGGGTTCTAGGTTGTTCTTTCACTGGCATACAGTCTCACAGCCCTCGATGTCTTGCCTGGAAGTAAAGAGAGCAAAGAGTAAAGAAAGGCCTGGGATTAGGGTAGGGCCAGATTTAAGGGAATAAGATTGGCCCCAACCTTGAGTGGAGGGGCTTGCAGTTTTTAGGCCACCCCTACAAGCACAGAAAGGTTTTGCCTCACTGCACATTACCCGGTATAAAGAGCAGGGGATCTTGGGGACCATAGTCAAGCCTCCACGGGGAAATGCATGACCCAGAGGTGGGTGGGCTCTGCTGGAGGTGAGCTCGGAGCTGGAGCCTGCAGCTGGACCCACTGAGCCTACAGCATGACAGGGCCACACCCAGGAGGAGGGACAATGGGCAGAGGAGAGAATCAGGTATCCAGCTCGTGCAATATTGATGGGGTAATGGAATATTGCACTTTACCCCCTGCTGATCCTACTCTGGGTCCCTCCTGGCACCAGGGATCACGGGCTCAGCTGCAGGGACATCACTGAAGGGACACTGACGACCCCTGCCCCCTTCCCTCAGGCCCCTTGACTGCGAGGCCCTTCACCTGGGGGCACAAGGCCACACCAAGCCAGAGAAAGAGGTAGGAACTATGGAGTTTGCCATACGTTCCGTTGGTTGAAGTGGGGGGCAGGGGGGTTTCCACAGTGAGCAGGGACAGGCAGAAGGGATGGAAGCCAGCACCAAAGATAGATGGGAGAGGGCCCATCTCTTCTTCCCACTGGGGACCAAAGAGAATCCCAGGGTGAGGAGAGGTTGGGAAAGACAGAGCAGGCTTTGAACACCAGGGCCATCTGAGAACTGAGCAGCTAGTTTCAACCACATCTCAGACCTCCTCCTTGGCCTCTGCCCCTCTGATCCTGTTTCTGTCCATCTGTCCTGATGCTTTGACTCCGGTCATCTGGCTTTCTTCCCGACCCGCTGAGGTGGGGTGCATGGACAAGGCAGATGAGCTCGGAGGCATGATGGGGCTCAGAGCACGAAGACCGGACTGAGAGAGCTGAGGTCAGCCCAGGACCCGGGAGGGCTCCAGTTAAAACCGTTCTTTCCAGTCGAAGATCACCTTCTCTGATCGCTGGGCCCTGACCTGCTCAGTGGGGTGAAGGCATGGGGAAGAAGGAAGTGGTGGGGTTTCCTCCCTGCCCTGATTCCCCCCTAATGGCTCTCGCTTTAGAAAGCTTGGTCCCCGGGGCGCCTGGGTGGCTTAGTCGGTTAAGCGTCCGACTTTCGCTTAGGTCATGATCTCGCGGTTCGTGGGTTCGAGCCCTGCGTCGGGCTCTGTGCTGACTGCCAGCTCAGAGCCTGGAGCCTATTTCGGAGTCTGTATATCCCTCTCTCTCTCTGACCCTTCCTTGCTCACGCTGTCTCTCTCTCTCTCCTAGAAATAAAAAAAAAAAAAAAAAAATTAAAAGAAAGAAAGAAAGCAAGCAAGCAGGCTTGGTCCCCAAGATATCCTGGGACCAGTACGTGCGGTGCTGGAGTATGAAGTTCCCGTTCTCTTACGTGTTCTCTCGGGTTTTGCTTTCCTGTGTTTGTGTGTCTTCCTCCCGGCATCCCTCTCCCTTCACCTCATTCTGGCGGCCCGCCTCGCAGAGCCGGGAGAAGCGTGTTCTCCGCCATGAAGCTCGGCAAGAACCGGTCCCACAAGGAGGAACCCCAAAGACAAGGTACAGACGCGCGCCCCAGCCAGGCCAAAACATGGGCCGTCTCTGCGCTCCTGACGGAGACCAAGCCCCTCCCCTCCGCGGGCCTCGCCCCAGCAGGCTCTCCTGCGATTGGCCGGCGAGGCCGCCTGAGGGGGCCCTAGCCTCCCATTGGCTGCCGCCAGAGCCAGGTCTTGAGGTGGTCTTCAGGAAGGGGGCGCTCCTAGCACAAAAGGTGGGAAGGCGTCACCGCTGGTCTAGAACTTAGCAGAACTCTGTCCGGTGGGCCCTATTTCTGGAAAGGCTCCTCCTGCCCTCTCTGCACCCCTCCCCCCACCCCGCCCTTTTTTCTGCACACAGAAGCCTAGAGGTTGTTCATTAGAGAAGGGAATGACAAAAAAACAAAAACAAAAAAAAACAAAAACAAAAGTGGTTTGGCCAATTCCCTAAGCGTCCCAGGAATGCCTACCCAGTGGCAGGACTCACTGCCCAGCCTTCTCACAAGGCTGCAGGGGAGGCCCTGGGGGAGAGAGGCAGGGTGGGGCCTGGGGGGCTGAAGTGGCCTGTGGCCCTGGGTGCCCCCACGGGAGCGGCAGCCTGGGGGGAGGGCAAGACAGGTGGGAGACAGGAGAGAATTGGATCGGATAAGGAGCAGGGTGTAGCTTTCACCCAGGTCTGTGATCACATGCTCTCCTTCAGGGCTCCTGGCTTCCGTCCTTAGCATCCTGTGTGGCGCACTGGCCCCAGCATCTCTCTCCCTCTTGCCCCCATGCCTTTCTCCTTAGACGAGAGAGGGTATGGCTGCTGCCTGAGGCCCAAACCTGCCATCCTTAGGTGTTTTCTCAGTATGGTCAATTCTTCATCTCATGGGATAATATACATCAGTGCAGGGTCAGATTCTGAATTCCATCAGCTATTTTACATGGATAAATTACTTCCTAAGCTTCAGTTTCCCAGTCTGTGACATGAGAATAGTGCCTGTCTTCACAGCACATGGGTATGAGGACAAGCGATATGTGCATAAAGTGCCTGGCATTGTGCCTGGCACATAGCGGCTTCTCAATAAATAGTAGCTATCATTCGAAAGGTACGTAAGTATGGATTCTTCATTCCCTACCTTCTTCCACAAAGGGCATTCAGTGCTTATGTAAGAAATACACAGCAAGAGTTACATTCAATCAAAATAAAAAAGCAAGACTAGGGGTACCTGGCTGGCTCAGTCAGTGGAGCATATGGCCCTTGATCTCAGGGTCGTGAGTTTGAGCCTCACGCTGGGTGGACAGATGGCTTAAATAATAAACTTATAGAAAATCTTTTAAAAAATAAAATTTTTTTAAAAAAGCGAGACTAGATATAATATCCATTAAAATCAAGATCAAGATCAGGTGGGAAACACTGCAGATATATAAGCCATAGTATTCTAAGCAGATTCTACGAAGAAAACCCAGAAATTGACTGTTAGCTTCCTGGATGGCGAAGCACAAGGGGAAATACAGTCACTTAATCCACCATCCAGCCCACCTACCCGGCCTTTCCTCAGCAGATGAACCGGCCGTGCTGGAGATGGAAGACCTTGACCGCTTGGCCATTCGGCTGGGGGATGGGCTGGACCCGGACTCCGTGTCTCTGGCCTCTGTCACAGCTCTCACCACCAATGTCTCCAACAAGCGGTGAGTATGCAGGAGGCCACACTGCCTCCACCTCGTCAGGCAGGCCCCCGCTTGCCACATGTGGAATTTGGATGGGAAGAACCAGGGCCCCTGGGCAGCTTCTTCGTCACCCGGGCCCTTTCTTCTTTTCCTGGATGTCTCTCACACCTCTGCTCCCACAAAGGCAGTCGAGTGATGGCACACCTGCAGACCAAGGGAAATCACAGAGCTGCCCGGCACACATCCGAACCCGTGGACCTAATGTCTATCTCCCCGTCCCTGTGCCGTTAATCCCCTCTGTTGGGGCCTCCAGAAACAATTAATCCCCATTCTTTTGGACAGTCTTGGAATATTTGAAGACCACGATTCTGTCCTTCTGCCCTTTGCCAAGGTCCAGCCAGTGCCAGTGGCCCCCTGCTCCCCTGCAAACAACCCCCTTACACCAGGCCTGACAGTACATTCTCCTCCTCAGGTCCAAGCCAGACATTAAAATGGAGCCAAGTGCTGGGCGGCCCATGGATTACCAGGTAGGTGGGGCAGCTGGAGGCATACCTCTCAGACTCCACTCTAGTGGGTGGTTCTGGCCAGGCGTGCATTATAGACTCCAGATGCATGGATCTGAGGGTCATAGAGAATCACAAACTGAATGTAAGTTCCCCAAATAAGCTTGTTTCTGGGAGGCACTCATAACCAGAGAGATACATACCTAAAGAGCTTGAAAATTCTGCTTATGCAGAGGATTCTGTGTCCAGCACTGGACTTGATTAAGTTAGAGGAATCTGGAAAAACCCTAAAAAGACCAAGGGGCACCACTATATATCATGATATATATATCATGCCATGGATGATATATGGCTATATCATATATATGTATTATATATATAAATACCAACAATTAAAAGCCCCTGAAGAAAGATTTTTGATGTGCTTTTTAAAATTGATGTTTGTATTATTTTTAATGCCAGAAGTAATGTCAATCCTGGTTATCCATTGATGGTGAGAATGTGAGTGTTTTTTTTTTCTTTTTCTTCTCGGTTTTATGAAATTAACACTTAATTTTTCTGTTTGTATGTTTCTACAACTGGAGACAAAATGGCTGAGATCAGGTGTAGGATTGTTCATGTGGCCACGGGGCAGGCAGGATGTGTCCTGAGCACAGCTGGTAGCTACTGAGAGAGAGCCACACAGGGCCCTGTGAAGCCCAGGATAGCCCTCCAGGCCCAGGGCCTGACCATGAGCTTCGCAGGCCACACCCCCAATTTTGTTTCTTCTTGCAGAATTGATCAGAGCCTGAGAGCCTGAGTTACACTAACACAATCCACAATGGACTAATGTACAAGCCAGAAGCACACAGTCCTTGTTTATAAACTGGAAGCAGGAAGGGCCCATGGACTACCCATTGCCCTAGACCTTCACCTGGGGTCTAACAAGATCCAGTTATAGAAGTTAGAAAAGTCTGGGCATTCCTAGGACTGAGTGAGTATGTGTACTGGTCAGAGGAAACGGGGCCCTCAGAAGACCCCACCTGGCTACCACTATCGTTCCTGCCCTAAGTGTCAGAACCAGGGCCCCGAATCAGAGTGAGCCTCCTCTCCCAGGTTAGAGCTTTATCTCTAACTACTCACTTCCCAGACCCTGTTGCACACCACCCCTTCTTTAAGGCGACAGCCTGCCGGTCACCTCATTCAGATGATCATATAAAGGACGAGGAGGCATCTTTCTTTGTATCAGGCACATCTGGTCATGTTTTCTCAAGGACACACCTTGTCTCTCTTAATTCTTGCTTCAGTTTGTTTTCATCCAGTTGGTGACCCATCTTTCCAGGTGCTTGAAAATTAGCCCCAGGCCATGTCAAGAGGCCCTGGCCCTGTGGTTTTAGACAACCTCAAGCCATTGGGCTCCTTGGAGGTTTGGGAAATGTCACCCCCTTGCCTCTGCCAAAACGCAAATGCAGAATATCTTTAGACTTTTCAAGACTCTTCCAGGGGGCCGGGCTCAGGGCTTTGCTCCTCTGTTTTCTGAGAACAGGAAAATTCCAAAGAACAAAGACCTGTTTGTCTTTGTATTTCCAGATACTGTTTCCTTGATAGTGTCACTGGCCTGCCACATAAAGGCACATAGAAAATGGTTAATATAACTGTTATTTTCTTGAAGACTTACTATGTGCCAGGCACTATTCTAGGAACTGTGTATGCGTGTTTTCCATTTAAGTTAATGTAATTCTTACAACCATCCAAATATAAGTATTACGTCATTTCATAGGTGAGAAACCGAGGCACAAGGAGAGTAAGGTGCCTACCCAAGGTCACACAGTTATTCAAAGGTCCAGCCAGGGTTCAAATGCAAAGGTGTCCAACTGAAGCGGTCAGAGTGACTAATTTCTCTCTATTTGAGCCTTTTGGACAGTCACCCCCTCTGGTCCCTGTTCACCGTTAGCTCACTACCTACTGTTTATTTTCAAACCTCTTTCAAAATGCTTCCTGACAGAGACTTTTATGAAGTGGACCCCACTTTTCCCCTCCAAAGACTTTGCAAACATTCTGAATTGAACAGAACAGTTGTTTGTATTTAACGCAGTATTTTTTGACAAGGTCATTCACGTCTCAGCTATAAGTATTAACACACTTTGAGAGAGAGCCCTGAGGGTACAAGCGTGGATTTAGTCTTACTTCCAATAAATACAATGTAGAAAGCAGGAAAACTTACCTAAGGGATGTCACTATCAGGAGAACTTGGCTTTGCCCGGTTAGAAAGACCTGAGAACGTCCACCCAGCTGGTGGAAGGGAAAGGACTTAGATGAACTCAGATCTGAGAGGGACCCCGAGGACTCAGAACAGGAGAAAGGCCATGGCATACTCATCCCCTTTGCTTCTTCTCGTTAGAATGTATATAATGCGTAAACCCTTTCCTGATTATGGGCATCTCAAGGGCGAGAAGCCACATTCTCATCCCAGCGACTATGCAGTTTCCCCATCAGAGTGAGCAAAGCTGAGCACGTGGGTCACTCGTGGAGTCCTGAGTGTGTTCCCTGCCCTCTCGTCCGGGCACCAAGAGATCATACATCTTCACCTTCATGTCGTCTCCCTGGACTGGTCCTAGATCCCAGCCTCAGCTGCAATATTGCAATTCCTGTGTGATCTCCCCACCCTCATAATGCCTCCTCCACTCCAACCTCTATGCCACCACTGGACTGATCTTCTCAAAATGCATGTCTGGTCATGTCACCGCTCAGCCACCTGGAGACGAGGAAGGGTAAAGGGTGTTTCAGAAGGGCAGCACCCGCTGTCTCCAGCTCCCCACCAGTGTTCTTGCAGCAGAGTCAGATCCCTTGGAAGCAGGTCACCGAGCGCCATGACTCTTGGGTTCTCCCGGGACAGAG